AGGTAAAATAATTTTCCTTCTACCCTTCTGAGTTCTTGGCTGACACCTCTGTAATTATAGATTCACAGGAGAAAAACAGAAGTTTATTAACATATATACATGGGAGATACCTAGGGAAAAGCCAACTCAGAAAGGTAACTTAGAACTCAGCTTAAATATCATCTCCAGCTAAAGACAAAGAAGGAAGGTGTGTGTGAGGGGAAGAGGCTAGCTGTGTGGAAGTTGCACAGTAAACAGGGTAAGGCTTGTCATGCAGACTAAAGTCAGGGCTTTCTCCAATGATAAGAGTCTAAAGTTGTCTCCAGAGAGTAACCTTTGTTCTTCCTCGTATGGAGGGGAGGAAGGACACCTTTGTAAATTTATGTCCTGCTTTTAGGCAAATAGGAGGATAGAGAGCTTTTCCTGTGTGTCTGCTTCTTCAACTGCCTTCAGCTCAAAACAATCTTTAGGCCAAAGTAGCGTATTTTGGAGTGGCATATTCTGCTACTCTTCATAACCAATAGGATATTGCAAAAATGATGGGTGTGCGACCTTGTAACAGACACTGTATCTTTTGCCCTGCTCTTCCTCAAACCACTCAATCTGGGGCAAGCCAGCACCAGGACACAAGGGCCCTACAGGGCCCTATGGAAAGGTCCCTATGGCAGGGAACTGGGGCCTCCTGCCAAGAGTCAACACCAACTTGCCAGGCAGTGAGTCAGCCATCTTGGAGGTTGATCTTCCTTCAAATGATTGCAAACCCAGCTGACACTTGGACTGCAACCTCATGAGACTCTAAACCACTAGCTAAGCTGCCTTGGAATTCTAGACCCTCAGAAACTGTTTTTTTTAAGATGCTGAATTTGGCGTAATTGGTTATACAGTACTAGAAAACTAGTAAAGGCACGGTGTTTCCTTGGCCTCTTTAATATTAAAATAGGACAATGATTTATTTCAGAATTATGGCCACAGTCGTTTGTATTAAGGAATTTTGATTCCAGTAGAAAAGAAAATTTTAATTCCTTCTATTCAATTTCTCCAAGTTCTGTGGGCTCCTCTATTTGCTTTTTAAAAAAGATTTTTATTATTTTATTTTTTAAAGTTAATCTCTATATCCAATGTGGGGCTCAAACCTACAATCCCGAGATCAAGATTTGCACATTTTACCAACCGAGCCAATCAGGCACCCCTCATTTTTGCCATTTTAAAAATATTTTTCTAGTAATTTATAACCATTTCATCTAGGTTTTTAAATGTTAGCCCATAGTTACTCATACTGTTTTTACTTTTTCTAAAGTTTATTTATTTATAAGTAATCTCCATCCCAAACATGGGGCTCAAACTCACGACCTCCTGAGATCAAGAGTCCCATGCTCTGATGGAGCCAGCCAAGCACCCCTTCTGTGGGTGCCTCTTTGAACTGCAACAGAGTCACCACTTCCTCAACATTCCCATCAACACTATCCTATTCTGCTGCTTCCTATGCTGATTTGCTAGTTCTTCTTGCTTCCTAATTGGGTTTTTTTCCAAAGCTCTATCCTTGAACTACTGTGCTTTTCTCAGGTACTGGTTGAAAAACCAGGAGCATAAAGCTACCTCTCAAGAATGAGGTAAATAGGGAGGGAAGAGGAGCTGGTTTTGTGAGCAAAGGGATGATGGAAGAGTTCGAGTTTTAGCCAAGCTCCAGTAGAATGGTAGTAGAGAGGCCCAGGGGCAGGATGCTGAGGGGGGTCTCCTTTGGCAAGGCCAATTTGTAAGCAGAGGGACAAGGTGAGGCCTAACAGTAAATGAATGCAAAAAAGCAGAGAGCAGTTCTGCTAAAAGTTAAGGTCATTTCTGATTTAATTCTCATGCTCACCATGGTCTGTCAGAAACTTTAGAAATTTTTCATGGATTCCCATGGTCATTATTATAGTCAAGACTAATGTTAGTGCTAATCAGGAGGATCAAATGACTGGATACATAAGCAACAGTCTGAAAACAGCAATCATAAGGAGAGTTTAGTATATAATCAAGCTAAAACAGTTCACAAAATTAACCTCATACACTTAATGACATATCACTGTTTTTATGCTGCATATTTAGGCCAATATGTAATCAGTTCTATAAGTTATTATATCTATTATTTCTTTTACAGAGCCAAACACAATTTTTACAGCTTTCCTCTTAGTAACCAGCTAAGCTTTCCCCATAGTATACATATTTTAATATTTACCACATACATTATAATGTCATTTTTTAATTATGGGTTTTAGGATCATCCCAGCTGGCAGTAAACTTTCCATCCCCTGAACTCCCGTATCATTTTGTTTTACTGCAGTGAAATTTATATATGGTGAAATGTACAGATCTTAAAAATGAGTTTTTATAAATGTGAACACCCATGTAACCACCATCCCAATCAAGTTACAAATGTTAACATCACTCCAGAAAGTTCCTTCCAAGTCAATGACTCTCTACCATAGGCAACCATTGCTCAGATTTCTATAAATCAGAAATTTATTAATTATAAATTAGTTTTCTTTGACATTCTTATAAATGGAATTATACAGTGTATATTCTATATGCCTGACTTCTTTCACTCAAAATAATATTTTTGAGATTCATTTATCTTGTTGCGTTTATCAGTGGTTTATTCTTTTTTTACCGCCCAGTAATATTCTCTTGCCATGCCATTTATTTATACATTTTTGTGGCATTTAGCCTTTTTATCTTGGATCATATGGTAGAGCAGCGTGCCTTACACTTGGTAGGTGCTCCATAAATATCAGTAAAGCAAATACATACATATACTTCCTTCCTATCACAAACAGAATTACACATACATATATAAGGTAGACCCTGGATCTGACTCTCAAAATAAATCTTTTCTCTATGGTCTACCCATGGTTCAGCATTCACTCTACTGGACTCTTCCCCAAGAGGTCCTCAACAAAACTTATCAGTTAACCCCTGTTCCATATCCGAAGAAACAATGCTGATAATAGATAATAACTGAGTGCTAAATGTGTGCTAGCCACTGGTCTAAGCATTTCACACGTATTAACATATTTAATCTTCAAAATTTATGATATAAGTGCTGTTATCCCCATTTCTCAGATGAGAAAATTAGGGCAAGGAGAATAAGCAATTTGCCCACAGCCACACAGCTAGAAAACGGTAGTTTAAATTCAGGATTTGTACTCAGGAAGTCTAGCTCCAGAGCTTGTACCACTGGCCCCTAATATCCTATATATAGACAGCTGAAATCCTCTATCATGAAAACATGGATAGCTGGTTGGGGGTACCAAGCAATGTCACCACACAGCTAAAATGCAGACTAAGGAAGATACCAAAGCTACTGGCAATGAAAATCATCCCCAGATACCTGGCGTCTTTGAATCCTAGAAGAGAGGGACAACCAGCCCCATTTACCAGCTCTTTTCTTTCCTAATCCCACAACCTTCGCATGGGGATCTATCCTTCAGAAGTTTCAGTTCACCCAGCTGAAACTCAGTCTCATTAAAGCATAAATGAATATCAAGCCAGTCATTATAAAAGTTGTTTCATTCAACAGAGCGTGAACAAACAAAAAGCTATGCACTTGGTTATGAGGTCCAGTGGGGTCCACCCAATGCTTACAGAGAAAATGGATGGCACCTGTGAATCCTTCAAGTGACCTTGGGCCAATTATCTCACTTCTCTGGGTTTCAATTTCCTCAATTATAAAATGAAAGATAATCTGTAATACAGATAATCTATAAGGTTCTTTTGAATTCTAAAATGCTATGATTCTTCTCTTACCAAAAGACCATTCTAAATCCATCTTAAAAAAAGACTGGCAAACTAATCCCTTAAACACCCCCTTTCTTCATGTTACTCCCTTTCTAAAGAATCCAAAATGACTGCCTAATGACTCTTACATAATCTTTTATTTCTCGGTCAAGTTTTGAAGACATCCATAGAAACGCCTCACTGATTTACCTACCTACCCTTATATCCAGCTATTATTCATTTTAGATCTTGTTCCATTCAGGCTGGTCTCCCCACTGTCTCCTTTTCACACAACACAATTCCCACCTTTCCAGCTTTTAGTCTTGTTACCTCCTACCACAGCTCCTGCCCGAAACAATTAAGTTCTACCTCCCAGGGCTGAACCCAAGGTCTTCAATGAGGTTATGATTCTTTCTCCAGGAAATCTTTCTTGACCTTTTTTTTTTTTTAAGATTTTATTTATTTATTTATTTGACAGAGACAGCGAGAGAGGGAACACAAAGCAGGGGGAGTGGGAGAGGGAGAAGCAGGCTTCCCGCTTAGCAGGGAGCCCGATGCGGGGCTGGATTCCAAGACCCTGGGATCTTGACCTGAGCCGGAGGCAGACGCTTAACGACGGAGACATCCAGGCTCCCCTCTTTCTTGACTTTTATTATTCGTCCTTTTCTTCAACCAACACGAATGAACTAAATCTTTACAAGATGCAGGACACAGTGAGAGTTACAACTATTACGAAAATCATTACATTTTAGCCTGCACCAACCATGCACTACGGTATAGATTCCTCCGACACTTATCTAAGGCAAGAAGCAAGCACCGGTAGACTCCTACCCACCAAAGCACCTAGCACCGTGTGGGGGCACAGAGCTGGCGCTCAAGACCCTAATCGGTCGACTGGGCCCGCGAGGACAAGGCGCTGGCACCTGGGCCTCCGACCGCCCGGAGGCACCAGGTGGGTGAAGTCAGCCGGGTGACGCCGGGCCGGTCTACCGTCTGCTGGGGACCCAGCCATCTCTTCCAACAGGGCGTCTCCCCAGCCCGGCTTCATCCGCCCTGGCGCTGCTCGGCCTCTTAACTTCCAGGCCCAGGCCCGGCCGCTGCCAGGACCTCCTCGCCCACCCTCCTCGCCCAACCTGACAGGTCCCGCAGCCCCCGGACCCAGCGCCCCAGCCCCCTGGGGTGGGGTTCGGCGGCGGGCGCGAGGCCGTAAGGGAGGAGGGACGGGCGCGGCCCGAGGGGTGTCGAGCACGGGGGCGAGTGCCACTCACCGCCGCCAGACACCAGAACCCGGGCTGCCCTGCGCGAGACGACGAGCGACGGCGACGATGGCTGGGCTGTGGCGCGACAGCGGCGGCGGCCGGCACTTCCTGCCTCGAGAGGTGGACCGGAAAGCGCACCGGAAGGCGCGGCTGGATCCAACTCGGGACGGGGGGATGCGAGAGGGGTTCTCGCTCAAGACCGAGCGAAGCCCGTTGTGTGGGCCGCGGAGCCGGGCTGGGGCCGGCGAACACAGCCTGGGCTTCAGTCGTCTTCTGTGGCCTGTAGGATCTGCTGCTGCATCCCCTCCTGCGTGCGGCTGTAGTCCCCCGGCCCGCCCTCCTCCCCCGCCTTCCGCGGCGGGTTCCCGCGGCCCTTCCGCATTCCTCGGCCGCGGGGCGCCGGGCCAGGCCCGGAATTTGACCGGGTGGGGAAGGGCGGGCCGCGCCGCGATCCCTCAGGATTTGGAGGGCCCCGGGCGCCAGAAGCCGCCCACCCTGGACTCCCAGAGTTAGCAAGGGAAAGTACAGCTCGCGTAGTTCCATTTGAACTTGAGGTAAAACAAGTAATTGTTTAGGGTGCGTCCCACGTAATATTGCGGAAGGTAAGAGGGCGGCGGCCGGGAGGACTGGTGCCTGCTGGAAAACCCTCTTTTTCAGCTGAGCTCCAGCCGGAGTTATATCATTTACCCTCAAATTTTAAGGTTTACGGCCTTACAGACCACGGCCAGCCTATGACCGTTTCACTCCCCTTCCAACCACAAGAAAGTTTTATTCAAAATATTTGCTTTCCTTTGGGTCAATAGATGACAGAATTGCACACACACATACCTACAAGCGCTCACACATTCTAAAATGCTCTTCGTCAAAACCGGAAACCACGAAGCTACATTATTCAAGTTTTGTTCTAGTGTTTGTGCCCATAACCTTCCCTTCCCTCGCTTGGAATAATATAGATGAATAGCACTATTGCTGGGTAATGGAGGGTAAGTCAACTTAATACCAAACCTTTATTGAGCACTTGTGATTCAAAGTGTGACAGATGGGGAGGGGAAGAAAAATGGCTTTTATATTCTAGAAATCTTTGATCAGAAATTCCTAGATAGTAGGAACCATGTGTTCAGTATTCTTGAGCAGTTCTTAAACAGCACTGTAAGCAAAACCTGGAGGGCTTTGTAAAAGATTCTTGAGCCCCGTGCCCAGATATTCAGATTAAGTAGGTCGAGGGTGGGGTGTTAATTTGCATTTCTAATAAGCACCCTAGGGATGCCGATGGGGTCCTCATCTGAGTAACACTGTCCAAGGTCCAGATGATTACGGAATGCATTTTCTCATAATTTGAAAAGCAATTCTGAAAAGTCACACCTGGTTCTAAAAGATTTATTTATAAAAAGATTTATTCTTTCCCTTGGCTGCAGTCTGCTCTTTAGTCCAATAGTATAATTTTTTTATTCCACTCAAAATCAAAAGATTTTGGCTTCCTTAGGTCTGTGTCATAGAGCTCTTCAAGAGGTCTATTACCATCCCATAAGCCCTCACCTTGGTCACCGTAAGACCACAGCTGAGGGACCCTGACTGTATTTTGATCTCCATATTTGTTTATAGAACTGTGCTTTTCAATACAATAGTCATTAATCACATCTGGCTATCTAAATTGAAATTAAAAACTCTGTTCCTCAGTTATATTAGATACATTTTAAGTGCTCAATAGCCACATGTGGCAAGTGTCCTTATTGGAAAGCACAGAGAGCATTTCTATCATCACAAAGTTCTACTGGAGAGCCCTGTTCTAAAAAATAATTCTAGGGTATATTCTCTAGATTCTAAAGAAAAACATAGTATTTATTAACGAAAAGCTGAATATCTAAGTATCTAGCACTTGGGTAATGGCTAATTAAAGCATATCCTTGTCAAAGATAATTGTGGCCATTAAAAAGAATGATTAAAAATAAAAATGGTGGCTATGCCAAAACATGAAAAGTTAAGATGTATTAAACTAAAAAACAAATTATATATTCATTACAACTATAAAATGTGGATAAGTAAGAGACGTTATGACGCTACTTGAGTAGGGAGATAGAATCTAAGGTAAAAGGATACAGGGACTTTGGACGTTCAAGAGCAAGCGGAACTGGGGAGAAGCAGGATTGGGAAAACGGCATTTCTTCTACATGGGATTAGTTCTGACAATGCCTTCAGGAACAGTAAAAAGCCAGGTTTCCAGGAAATCAAGAAATCGTACACTTAAGGAAGACCTAGCAAGACACAAGTCTACATATTGGATCTACCCAGGAAATCTAAAGTATTTGATCACCTAGTCAGTACCAGGAAATAGGCTTTTTAATGTACTCTCATTCAATCCTGTTTACAACCCTTTAATATAATAAAATTCCAGTTTGAGCTAATTTACTGTCAAACAACTATGGACCTTCCTCCTAACCTCAGCCTTTTAGTTCCAACTACCATTAAACTCCCATCACCTACCCTTCTCTCTTTTCAGAGGGAGAAGTATCCATTTTTATTTCTCTAAGGATCATCCTACATGTGATCTAGGTTCTGTCCCTTCCTATCTCCTGGATATGATTCATTTTGTGTCACTGATTGTTTCCTCTTGTCTTTTCCCCCCTCTGTCTACAAACAGGCTTGAATCTCTAAAGATGAGTCCTTTGATCTTGCCTTCCCTTCAAGTTTCTCTTCATTGCCAAGCTTCAGACCCTTTGCTGGTAAACTGAACAATCCCTTTTTGAATACCCGTGTACCAAACCATTTAGCTTCAGTGTTTCTAATTTTCACAACATACTTGGAGGTTTTCATCCCTGTTATATAGGTGATGAAACTGAAGAGTGACCTGCCCAAGGTTACAAAGCCAGCCAAATAATAGGTGGAATTCATTCCATCTAGTCTGGCCTCATACTGCTCTTAGTCACAAAAAGTACTGCTTTATATATTAATAGACTATGTTCCTATTATGAACCAATAGCATTACTTCCATTTTACAAATGAATAGGGGTCCAGGGAATTTAAATAATTTATTTAAGGTTATGAAGCCATGTAGCAAAAATGGGATTAAAATGCAGATTGGCTTGATTCCTAAACCTAGGCACTGTCCACCATTTCATGCTGCACTATGGATCCTGCATTCAAAACTCTACTTAGGGGCACCTGGGTGGCTCAGTCAGTTAAGCATTTGCCTTCAGCTCAGGTCATGATCTCAGGGTCCTGGGATTGAGCCCCGCGTTGGGCTCTCTGCTCAGCAGGAGCCTGTTTCTCCCTCTTCCTCTGCCCCTCCCCTGCTTGTGCTCTCCCTCTCAGATAAAGTCTTGAAAAAAACAAAAAACCTCTACCTAATAGATATAGCAAAGGTGACCAATGACTTGTCAAATCTAGTGGTCCCATTTAAACTTTACTGAGCTTTTCTGATTTAACACTATTGACTAACCTCCTCATTCTTAAAACTGTTCACTTGATTTCCACAATACTGTTTTTGCGGCTCTACCTCTTCGAGCCCTTTTATCATCTTCTGTCTGATCCTTCTTACAACTTTTCTACACGTCCCTAATCTAGGTGTTACACCTCTTGTCCTTTTTCTTTCATACTTTATAGGAAATGGTTGCCTTTCCTTTTCAGAATATGATTTTACTAGTCTCATGTAGTTTGGCTTTCCTCCCTTTTCCCCCCAGTAGCACTCATCAGTTTCTGCTCTTGAATCATAGTCTCCTTGATCAAGTAAAATTTGGACCCTGGAATCCAGTGATAATATAATCATAAGCAGGCGGATAAGGATGTTACCCTAGTAGGTAGGTTTCATGAGAACTTTTGAAATGTAGGACTTTCTTCATGGAGACTGGTTTTTCAGTCAAGTCCACTGTTGGGAGTCAGACGCTTTAATTTTTTTATTGGCAATTATCTTTGCTTAAGTAAAACCTAGTTACTATGTAAAGAATGCTATTACCATATTAGGAGACTTACTTCATTTGTGGAAGACCATGCACTATTCCTAATGGAAGCTGATTCTTTGAGCAGTTATTTGAAATGAAAATGGGAATACTGCAAGAGCTCATTTTAGTAGATGAGACCACATTGTTTCTGTAGTGGAAACAATGTAATTTGGCAATTTGTTAAAAACAGAAGTGACCATGTTTTCAGTTGAAATGGAAATTCAATTCAACAAACAAGATTTAGCATCATGGCCATGAGCCTAGGAAAAGTATTTTGCTTAACCCACTGAATGAAATTCAGAAACACATAAAAGGCAAATAGTTAAGGGAGGTGCTAAGATTCTAATCTTGAAGGAGGCAGAAGCAGTCTTGTTCCTAGTCTTTCTACTTCTGCTCTATAAAGCTGGCTGCACCAGATTAAAGGATCTAGCTCACTTATCCTGTTGAGTGCAAAGGTCTGCTGCCTTAAAGGCATTCAGTAATTGTTTATTGAATGAGGTAATGGCTTTGTCCAAGGACAGTCTTGTTAATAGTAGCATAAAACAAAGTTATTAGAGTAATTGTCAATTACTCATCTTTGTAGGCCAACTCTTTTCAGCTGACTTTTTCTCCCAACATTTCAAGGTCTTTTTAAAATTCATGAATATTTGGAAGTTAGATTTTTGAAGCCTAAAGCAAATGAAACTTCTGATTAACTCTGAAACAGTCCTGCATTTCTGCAAATAGCAGAAGTTATTTTTAGGACTGAAATAATGGTCTCAGTTTCCCAGGCATGTAGCTTCAGCTGTTTTGATTGTGGGCAGGTCAGGAATGTCCAAAATTCATACAAGGATTCATGGTGAAGCTCTGCATAAACAAACACGGTATTTCAAGAGGGACAGTTGTATTAAAAAGAAGCTACATACAATAAAAAATGCTGGATTGTATTTCCAACATTCTGAAATACAATACAAAAAAATATTTTTGGTAAGAAACATTCCATAGAACCTTTTGGGGCTAAAATAGTTTTAAAAATTAGGACAAATTAAAATTATACTCACTGGCCTGGTCTAATTTTAAATGACATGAAATAATGCACAAAAGTTTAGAACAGATAAGGAGGGATGCTGACAGGTATGTTAAACTTAAGGATTTAAAGCTACCAAAGTTAGCATGTCTATGCAAATTCTATAGAAAATTATTTTTAAAACTGAAAGACAAAGTGCAGGAAACCCAATTAAGGCAGTTAAAACTGATTTCTTTGGTGGGGGGAGGGATATATAGTAGAGATAGGATTGTTAGGGAAACTGGAAGGAGTAAGGGAGAGGTCTAACAACCATACCATTTTCCAGGATTTGTCTCGTCTACCTTTCCTTGGAAGATGCAACTAACAAAAGCCAATTTTGGGAA